GAAGAAAGAGGGGGACTTATGTATTACTGTCAATAAAGATTTTTTTCAAAAAAATTTTCTTGCCCCAACCAGTTTCCTATAAAATCCTTCCATTTCCACCTATTTTTATTTAATTTTTCAATTATGTTGACATGTAATACTATATTAATTTTCTACTACTTCTGCAGTACCTCTGTATTTACTAGATGGGATCATTCAACAAAGGCAATCAGATCTTCAAATTTATTCGGCTTAATTTTAATAATACAAAACTACAGTAAATAAGACTATGTGGTACTGACATAGAAGAGACATTAATCAATGAAATAGAAACCAAATAAAAACCACATTTATGGTCACCAGTAAGAAACTAGAATTCAGAATATACAAATTCTTACAATTCAATAACACAAAGACAACTCAAATTTAAAGTCCATAAAATTTTGCCCCACAGGTGCAGTTCTTCAAACTATGAACCAGGAGGTCATGTCCGTGAACCCATGAAACAAGAGGTCACAGTTCGACTCAAGGTGAGGGCACATGCCCAGGTTTGGAGCTTGATCCTCAGTAGGGGCATGCAGGAGGCAGCCAATAAATGATTCTCATCATTGACGTTTCTATTTCTCCCTCTCCTTCCCTCTCTGAAATCAATAAAAACATTTTTTAAAGAACATAAAGTCTATAAAGGTTTTGGATAGCCACTTCTTCCAAAACAGATACACAAATAGCTAAATAAGATGATAGTCATTAATCATCAAGGAAGTGCAATAAAAACTCACAATGGGGTACACCACTTCTTGCTCACTATGATGGCTATAATTAAAAACACAAGTGTTGCCCTAACTGGTTTGGCTCAGTGGACAGAGCATCAGCCTGCGGACTCAAGGGTCCCAGGTTCGATTCCGGTCAAAGGCATGTACCTTGGTTGCGGGCACATCCCCAGTAGAGAGTGTGCAGGAGGCAGCTGATCGATGTTTCTAACTCTCTATCCCTCTCCCTTCCTCTCTGTAAAAAAATTAATAAAATATATTTTTTAAAAAAAACACAAGTGTTGATATGGATGTGGGCAAACTGGATAGAACTCATGCTTTGCTACTGAGAATATAAGTGGCTCACCTCCTTTGAGTAATAGTCTGGCAGTTTCTCAAAAGGTCAAATGGAAAAAATGCCCTCAGGGAAGATTTTAAAATAAAACCTAAAAACTTTCATATTGAACCGAGTCCAGCATGGCCAATGGTGAACTTGAGGAGGGGCGGTAAAGGATTAAAGAAAACAGACAAGAGAATATAGTTGGGGCCAGGTGGATCACTGTGCCTGGATGAGAACACAGTGACCCCACCTATAACCAGAATTATTTTATAGTCCGATCACACAAATGAAAATAAGAGAGTGGTCAAGATATTTACAATGTTCTCTTTCGAGTTTCAAATCTGCTTCTTTCCTGTTATTGCAATTCTCTGAACTCTCTATCAAGCTTTGTTTTGGCAGCACTTGCTCTACCTCCCACAGCCGACACCCCTAAGCTACCTAGGACTACTAGGTCTATAAGGTCAAGCTTCGGTACAACCATAGCCTTTGGCTGTAATTGTGCTGGGAGGACTTTGCCCTCCAAGCAGGGACTTGTATGTGGCTTTGCCACAAGAACACCTTAATAGCTGCTTTCCACACATATAAATTTTTACTTATTTGAAAATAAAAACTTTCAAATGTTACCATGTGACAAAGCAATTCCACTCCTAGGTATACATACCCAAGGCCCAAAAATGTCTATACTAACACTTGTACATTAATACTCACAGCAGCATTACTCATAGTAGCCAAAACGTAAAAACAACACAATGTCTATTAACATGAAAGATAAAAACAAAATTTGGCATATCTACACAATGTACCATTCTTTAGCCATAAAAAGGAATGATGTACATATATATATATCAACATGGATAAACCTTGAAAATACTGTTCTAGGTCAGAGAAGAGGACAAAAGACCACATGACTTCATCTATGATATTCATATATGTGAATATACTTAAAACCATTGTACACTGTAAATGGGTTAATTGGATATGAACGTGGTATATGAATTCTATCTCTAAGCTACTTTACAAAAACAAAAATACATACAGCATTTTCCTGTTACTAGCAACAGACATATACATGCCCCAATGAGAGCCAATGGAATTTGAATTTTTGGTGGAGCAAGCAGACAAAGGGCATGATCAATGCAAGTTGAAATTGATTGGATATGTGAACAAAAGCATGTCGATGAAGTTAACCTAACAAGCTCAGTGACCAACATAACCTCACAGGATAATCTCATCAAATTCCTATCTAGTATATGGATAGCCCATGGACAGACAATAGTTTTGTGAAGACCTGAGGAGAAGGGGGGTGGAAGGTGCGGGGGAGGAGGACAGAATATTTTCAACAATAAAGATAAATTTAAAAAATAAAATAAAAAATTTCTAACTGGGCAGGCCATGGTGGGTAGTTACTCCAGGCCTAAGACTTCCTCAGTAAAAGATGTATCTTCCCCTTAAGCAAGGGCTGTCCATTGTTCTTGTGCACCTACGGCAAAACACCTTTGAAATGCCAGAGTAATTTTGCCAGTCCCCTACCAGGGGAACTAACCTGGAGGGAGCACAAGATTTTATCACCTATATATCAGCCCTATTTATTGTAAAATGTTAACATCCTGTACCCAGCAATGTATGTATCTCTCCATTTTACTTTTTATCCAGTGATCCCCTCCTTGCTTTCTCCAGCCTCTCTAATGGACAGCCAATTAATTTCATGTAATCCTTTTTTCTTACAAATGCATAAAAACAACTGCATAATTAACATTCTCCACAGCATTTTCTTAGTCTGTTGAGGTCTTGCTATGTTTGGACACTCATTGACAGATAAATGCCTAGAGATACTGGGGCCACACTTTGAAGGGAACTGTACCTGAGAACGAAGTCAATGCTGAAGCCAACCTCAATTCAGAGATGCAGAGGAGGCCATACCTGAAGGTCAAGTTACATAATCTTTAAATTATGTGATCCAATACATTTCTTTGGGGGCTTAAAAAAGACATACAGAAATCTATTTATGATTTCTCTCTTAAAATTTAACAGTACCATAATTCCTTGTAACAGTTTGCAACTTTAATCACAAGTTAAAACCTTTATTTACAAATACAGTCTTGTAATTTAAGAACCATAGTAACTCTCATTAAATCTGCAATCAATATTAACTATTAACAAATGTCTCACTTGCTTTTCAATTTACAAGGACACTTAGGATATTAAGAATAAACAGCTACATAGCTGCCTCCCAACAAAGCATTTAGAATTCTTCAAGGTCCACATGATTTCGTCTTTCTTTACAAGGCTTATTACAAAGTAAATGTTTGAAAACTTTTGTAATGTGTTTTTATTGATTTCTGAGAGGGGAAGGAAGAGGGAGAGGATAGAAACATCAATGAGAATTCTTGATAGGGTGCCTCCTGCACACCTCCCACTGTGGATCAAGCCAACAACCTGGACATGTGCCCTGACCGGAAACCAAATGCATGACTCAACCACTGAGCCACACAGGCCAAGCATAAAGTAAATTTTAACTTGCATTTCTATAAACAAAGTTGGTAAATTATTGTCTCTATCTCATATTGAATGTTTTCTCTGTCTCTTTCACACAGTATGCCTCCAGTGGGGGATGAGGGATGTGGCAAAAAAAACCTAGGTAGACAAAAGTCTTGAAATTCACGTTTATAAAAGCCTTTTAAAACAGGTTAGATCAATTCTCTAGATATTTATGTTACTATTGTGTCCAAAACCACAATAATATAAAGGATATGGGAGCTTCCAACACTTAAGGGAAGTAATATAGAAAATATAGAAAAGTACAGTTTTGGAGCAAATTAGCCCTGGGTGGAGAATTTAATGGAGGCATTCATGATTTCAAAAAGGCCTGCAGGTAAAAACTATAGTTGTGTCTGGTACTTCCTTATAAAAACAGAACCTATAATAGGATCGATAGTGAAAACTTCATACAAAGCTGGGTAAGTTCATGTAGAGCTTAAATTAACAAACTGAATTTTGTATAATATCTAGTATATTGTCTTAGCCAGGGGTGGGCAAACTGACTCGAGGGCCACAATGGGTTCTTAAACTGGACCGGAGGGCTGGAACAAAAGCATGGATGGAGTGTTTGTGTGAACTAATATAAATTCAAAGTAAACATCATTACATAAAATGGTACAGTTTTTTTTTTTTTTTTTTTTAGTTTTATTCATTTCAAATGGGCCAGATCCCGCCCGCGGGCTGTAGTTTGCCCACGGCTGTCTTAGGCCATAAAATGTATTTCCTCTAACATGGCAACAGCTAAAATTTATTAAGCAATTACCATGTCAGGAGCTGTTCCAAGTGCATGCGTATTATGACAACAATCCAAGAGGCAGTTACTACTGTTATCCTCATTTTACAGATCAGATAACTGAGACAAAGAAGTTAAATATCTTCCCAAGGTTACTTTTACTGAGAGTAAAAGTAATAGAGCCAAGATCTGAAGCTCAGCAGTGTAATTGCAAACACAGTGGTCTTAATCACTCTTTTATATATATATATATATGTATGTATTTTTTTTTTGATTTTTTACAGAGAGGGAGAGAGATAGTTAGAAACATCAATGAGAGAGAAACATCAATCAGCTGCCTCCTGCATTACCTCCTACTGGGGATGTGCCCGCAATCAAGGTACATGCCATTGACCGGGATCGAACCGGGGACCCTTGAATCCGCAGGCCGACACTTTATCCACTGAGCCAAACCGGTCAGGGCTTAATCATCACTCTTGAATTTTATAAGATGAAAGCCCAGGAGATGATCACTTTGGCTTTATTGGTTGGTATCTCACGGAATGGCTCACCCAAAGTTGTGATGTCTTCAACACCATGTGCCAGAAATAATAAATAAAAGCAACCAAATAAGAAACAGAGCAGCACATCAAAATTAAAATGCCAAAGGTGAATACAAAGAAGGAATCTTAAAAAAACAGCAAGGGAGACCCTGCAGGATTGGATCAATGGACAGAGCACCGGCCTTCGGACTTCAAGGGTCCCAGGTTCAATTCTGGTCAAGGGCACATACCTGGGTTGCAGGCTCGATTCCCAAGATGGGGCATGCAGGAGGCAGTCGATCAATGATTCTCTCATCATCATTGATGTGCGCTCTCTCTCTCTCCCTCTCCCTTCCTCTTTGAAATAATATATTTTAAAAAAAAACACAACAGCAAGGGAGCTTAGTTACCTACGAGGGAATTAGTTCCGTATAATTGAGCGCCCATATGATTGTCAGCTGATTTCAACAATAGTTGTTTCAACAGCAAGAAACGAAACAACAAAAACTTTCAGGTCAGAGGGGAGTGGCAAGAACTATTCAGTGATGAATATCAAGGATCTAGAAAGCAAGATTACTATACCCAGGAAAGCTATCACTTAGAATTTCAAGTCAGATAAGGAGCTTCACAATCAAGAAAAAGCTAAAGTAGTTTATCACCACCAAGCAGTATTACATGAAATGTTCGTCTTCTTGAAGATGAATAAGAGATAAAAATTTGAACAAGAGTCTGGGCATGGACCTATGAACCAGGAGGTCAAGGCACATGCCTGGGTTGCAGGCTGGATCCCCAATAGGGGGCGTGCAGGAGGCAGTCTTATCATTGATGTTTCCATCTCCCTTCTCCCTCCTCCCTTCCTCTCTGAAATCAATAGAAATATATTGGGAAAAAGAAAGAATCTCTTCCATATCTTGCAAAGATGAATAACTCACTCCATGCTAAGCTAACCACATTATTTCTAAGTTTTGTCATCAAATCCATTGTGTACTAGTTTAATTTTTAGCCAGTGCAGATTCATTTAATTATTAATTTTGTTCCACAGCAGATATATTAGGCTACTTAGAAGTAAAATACTTACCTTTCAATGTTACTCTTTCATTGTATGTGTTCCCATTTCTCTCCAAACATGTCAGTGTCCCTCCACAATGTTTACTTTTTTGATCCTGGAATAGCAAGAAACTACTATGTAATTACTCAATATAAAATTTATATATCACCTTTACTTATATTAAATTTACAATAAAAATACATGCCCATCTGCTCCCTTGATGACACTGCTGTGCGAAGCTCTGTTACTTAAAGTTGCACGAAAAGCATACTAATTTTCTTGAATTCTGAAGTCTGCAAAGAAACAAATACTAGGTCAGGCCCCACAGGTGTGGCTCAGTGGTTCAGCATAGACCCATGAACCAGGATCAGGACAACCAATCACTGATTCTGGTGTTTTTGAATCTCTCTCCCTCTCCCTCCCTCTCTGAAAAAAAAATCAAATAAAAATGCATTTATTTTTTATTTTTATTTTATTTTTTTTCTCCCATATGTGCCCCAACCAGGGATCAGACCCAAAACTTTGTGTATGGGATGATCCTCCAACAAACTGAGCCACCTGGCGGGGGCTAAAAATGCATTTTTAAACACAAACACACACACACCTTGGTCTGGCCTAAATTGCCGCTCACTTTTCAAGTTAGAATTCATATACCCTTCTTCCAGGTCTACTACTGTCCTTCCATTCCCAAGCAAAAATACTTTGGCCGGGTGGCTCAGTTAGTTGGTGTGTACCCCATTACACCAAAGGCTCGTGGTTCATTCCTGGTTAAGGCACAGACCGACGTTACGGGTTCCATTCCCGGTTGGGGTAAGCGAGGCAACCAAAGGATGTTACATACACATCGATGTCTCACTCTCTCCAAAATCAATAAAAATGTATCCTTGAGTGAAACTTTTAAAAAAGTTCTTGACCTTAACCATTCTCTTTAATGAGATTAATAAAAATACATAACTGAAACCTAAACATTCGTGCATGTTAATAATGAATAAAATTTAAATTTACAGCTCACATTAAGGTCTGCAACCCGAACGATTTAAAATGCACTCTAGCCCTAACCAGTTTGGCTCAGTGGATAGAGCATCGGCCTGCGGACTGAAAGGTCTCAGGTTCGATTCCGGTCAAGGGTATATACCTGGTTGCGGGCACATCCCCAGTAGGTGTGCAGGAGGCAGCTGATCAATGTTTCTCTCTCATGGATGTTTCTACCTCTCTATCCCTTTTCCTTCCTCTCTGTAAAATATCAATAAAGTATATTTAAAAATGCGCTCTAAGCTCCTGCAGCATCCCGTTCTCCTTACAGTGCAGGCAGACGCTGCAAGTATTATGAATTAAATGGTGCTCACTGGAGGACTCCCCGAAAGCTGGCTGCGGAGCTCGGGATCCTCCGGGCCAGTGCCGAGGGACCCCGCGACCCCGCGCCCCTACACACACACACACACACACACACACACACAAGAGCCCAATGTGCACTCGTGCACTTGAAAACGCCTCCAGGAGCCAACGACTGCGAGGAGCGAAAACCCGGGCATCGGGGCCCCCGTCCGAGGGCCACTTGGCGTTCCAGTGGGTCGTTTGTTTCGGGAGGAACCGCTTTAATAATGGGGGCGGGGAGGAAGGAAACGGTCCAGATATACGAAGCGAAAAACAAAGATTTTTTTTTCACCCCAGCCGACAGGAAATAATTAAAAACAGAAGCTGCTCTTACACCTCCCCATCTAAGCAACCTCCCTGCAGTTGAACCAAACGCGTTTTCGCGGGCGCTCCCGGCGGCCTCCTACGGCGAGGCGGCGCCC